CCCGCCCCGCCCCCCGGACCTGTCTCCTCCCCTTTGGCTGTGGACTGCTCAGCCGATAGCCAGCACCGCCAAAGGATGAGACCAGCCTCCCCGACTTTGAGCCCAGGCATATCCTTGTGGGGGGGTTCTAAGGTTCCCACACCGCTGGCACCTTCAAGGGGACGACTGAAGGAGACTTCGTCCAGTTCTATTGCCACAGCCCCGTCCTGCAGGACTTTCTCGCTCCTCCCACCATCCCCTCTTCTCTCTCGTGGGATATATGCGTGCATAATCACGTTTGAACCGTTCGTTGGTCGAGATGGGGACAGTGAGTGATTTGAATGGATGTATGATAATGTGACTGAAACACTGAACTGGTACCTACAGCTTACTTGAACCACCTCCCGCACCTCCCCCACACACAGCGCTCTTGTATTATCACCCCTGAGAAGACTATTTTTACTGTGAGTAACAGAAAGCCCAGTAAAAGTGAAAACGAGGCTAGAAAACAAAAGGGATTTGTTAACTTAGATAATTAACACATATAATCTGCATGTGTGTACAGGAGGGCTGCAGGCATGGTGTGATCAAGGCTTCACCTCTCTGGGCTTCTTCCCTCTCTGCCCTCCTCAGAGGGTTGGCCTCCTGCTCAGGCCTTCTTCCCCTATGCTCACAAGATGGCTAATATTAGTAACCAAGGATACACGTTTCCTGAGTTACGCCTGGATGAGAAAGAGTGTCTGCACTATAGCTCTCAGTGAGTCCCGGGCTTCGTTCTGATGGCACCAACTGATGTCACATGCCTAGTCCTTATTGCTGTAAAAAGCCTTTACTCTTATGATAGTGCTCAGCACGTCCTGTGTAAATACTCGGTCTGGAAATTTCAGAGTCTGCGCTTCTCTGGGATTCCATCTTTAAGAACAAGGCTGATAGCTGCCGCCCTTTTTTCTCTATTTCACCAAGTTGTAAATGATGCAGGACCTGGCACCAAGGTCTCCCAGGGCTCCCGGGGAGCAGACGAGTGTTTCCTGACACTTACGTTGCTAGTAGGACCACAGCCAAAGTGAAGGTTCCTCTGATTCACAAAATTATTACCCCCTTCCCATGGCCAACCATGCCAGCAGGTTTGAAATCCCTGTACCTACACTGCCCTGAAAATAAAATGCGTCCTCCCCAAGTGTCTGTCATACAGTGTAATGGGCTGAATTTTGTCACCCCTGGAATTCATATGTTGAAGTCCTTTCTCCCAATATGACTATTTGAAGTTGGGACCTATAAGGAGATCATTAAGGTCAAATGAGGCCGTATAAACGGGCCCTAATTCAATATGACGGGTGTCCTTGTAAGGGGGAGGAAAAGACATGAGGGAGGTGCACAGGGGAAAGGCCACGTGAGGTCTCAGTGACAAGGCGGCCATCTGCAATCCCGGGAGGGAGGCCTCAGAAGAAACCAACCCTGCAGATACCTTGAACTTAACCTTCTGGTTTCCAGAACCGTGAGAAAGTAAATTTGTGTTGTTTCGGCTGCCTGGTCTGTGATCTTTTGTTACAGCAGCCGACCAGACCGACGCACTTGGTTATGATCCAACTTCTCAACAGGATAACTTGCCGGCAGCTGTAGACCTGTGAGGACTGCTTCTCCAGCGACAATTGGCCTGATTTGCAGGATTTGCCAGGCACTGTGGTGTAAATGTCCTTACCGTGGCCCATTTTAAGGTGGCGGTGTGCTATCGCTGATGATCTACCAAGCCGAGAAGAGATGTATGCCATTGAATTTCACCAGCAGTGCCACCAGCTAGTGGCCCAATGTTTGTCAGCCAATCCCAGGAGCAAATATTTATAGTAGCTCATTGTATAGCAGGATCTCATTTGCTTATTTTTGTTTTGTTTAATTTTTTTAAATGTTTATTTATATTTGAGAGAGAGAGAGAGAGAGAGAGACGGTGTGCAAAGGGGGGGGGGGCAGAGAGAGAGAGGGACACACAGAATCTGAGGCAGGCTCCGAGCTGTCAGCACAGAGCCTGATGCGGGGCTCAAACTCACAAGCCGTGAGATCATGACCTGAGCCAAAGGCATGACCTGATCCTTAACAGACTGAGCCACCCAGGCTCTGTTTTTGTTTTTGTTTTTGTTTTTAATGGTATTTTACTAGCTTTGCCTTATTCCCACCCCTAGGCTAGGATTCTCAGAACCGGAAGTAGCTTGAAAATAAAGCCATCCATGTTTCCTGCTGTCTCTCTACTCCTCATCTTTTGCACGAAATCTGGTTGGCACACTTATGGAACCAGTTCCCCTTGAGGGTCGAAAGTGGCCAGGATGTTTCCCATCTAACGTGAGATCTGCATTTTCGTCTCTTCCTTGTTTCTTCACCCGTGCAAAAGAGGTAGTTCCCAGAAACCTCTGCTTTCTTTCCATTTCCCCAACACATGTTAGCCTACCTGGGAAAATATGTGCCAATTTTATATCCATCATGGGTTTCACATCTCTCCCCAGAGCGGTTCTTTAAAGTACTTCAAATTCACACCTGAGCATCGGGGTTACTTAGACACAAATCTGAATGATTAATTGGATATTTTGCACTCCACTTCAATTCAGGTTGTACAGAATGTGTTCTACCAACCTCTCCCACCCCTGCCTGTGGCTGCAGCTAATGTTGAAGAATCTCCCTATCCATATACCACGGCTGCAGGCAACATCTCCATTTCCTTTAGTGTGAACTCTGAGTCTTTACTGAGTGATTACTAGCCGAGGTCAAAAAGAAAACCCTAGCCACTTCCCGGACCTGAAATGCTTAGTTCCTGTTTCTTCTGTATGTCCCCACTTCCCTAGGAAACTGGGCTCCGTCGTAGGCACGCTGCTGACTTTTTGTTCAGGAAGCATGTGCTTGGGCATCAAGCATCAGCTCCTGGCGGGGAACAGGCTGGTGTTCACACCGCTGGGTGCAGAGCTCGCCCTCGATGGCGCGGTCGGTGTGCCCTCGGGCCCAGTTACTCCCTCCGCCTGTTCTGGTCCCAGGGGGTTCCAGTATGGCACATTTCGGTGATGGTCCTGCAGATACTGCTGGATTCTTTTTTTTTTTTTTTTTTTTTTTTTTGCAGGAAGATCTCCTTTGAATCTGGGGACTGGCTGAGGTGTGCTGAAACAGGCTTGTGCCAGTGGAGAGACCTAATCTGTGCCTCTCCTCTCACCTTCATGCTCAGTGATATCGTGTCGGAGGTTGGTACGGCCATGGGGGCAGTATTTACCCAAGGGAAACCAACAAACAGTAGAAATCAAGACTAATTCTTTTTTTTCCCCCAGAGCGCCCACTGACAGCACGTCACTGGAAATACCCCTTTAAAAAAATCTCTCAGAGGAACCAGCAGCCGGTGCAATTAGAATCTTCTCCATGCCACTCCCCACCTCTCTGGAAGCTCCAGTGCTAAGTGGGCGCAAAACAAATGTGAATTACACAATCTCTCTGGAAGGGCCCGTTTTCTTTTCAGTTCTCATCGATCGCCATCCCCTTATCAGGATTTCTGGTAGACTTCACTGACTGCAGAATCACAGTTCCCCTGCCATGTTCTTTTCATTACGTTGCCTTCTCTGTGGGTTTATTCCTAATAACCCTCAGAGCCAACAAGCAGGGCTGTCTGCTCGCAGGGGTTCCAGAGCCCTAGGGAGGATTGCTATGAATATGGATTTCGAGGCCCAGCCTCCAAGACAGTCTATCCGTGGCTCTGGGTTGGGGCCCAGGAATCTGTATGTTGAATAAGCTCCCCAGGTGGGTCTGGTGGAGGCAGCCGAGGCCCAGAAACCTGGGTGGGGCAGACTTTTGGAAACCACTGCATTAAGTGTCGGCGGATATGCGGGGCTCCTGCGAGGCAGCTTGTGTGTTTGTTCAGAGCCAGCTGGGGTTTTCCTGGTTGACAGGCAACGTCTGAGGGCTTCTGCTCGGTCATCCTTCAGCCCGGAAGACATGGGGAGTCTCGGTGACCTTCCTGATGACCCAGGGACACAAAGGCTGGCTTGGAGGTCCAAGAGGGGGTGAACTGATTACCTGCCTCTTGAGAAGCTCAATTCCACATCATTTTCTAATTTGTCATTTCCAAATGAAGCCCAGAGGCTGCCAGGGGAGCTCGGCTGTGCCCAGTCGAAGGTCAGGCACATCATGCCCTGACTCATCGTTGCACCGCAGTTTTGCTCTGATGAGGAGTGGGTGCCCCCCCAACCCCCCGCCCCGCCCCGTGACTCCCAAACTTCAGGATGCAAATGAATCACCCAAGGAGCTTGTGAAAAAGCCTGATTCCCAGGCTCCTGCCCAGGTTCCTGTTACACAATGTCCAGGGTGGATCCGGGAAACCCCTCGTTCAACAAGCTCACCAGGTGATTTATTTAATATTAGCTAGTTTCATTTACAGCAAAAAGTTTTACATGAAACGTCTAGTCTTCAGGGTATTCTCTTCCCTTAAGGAATTCCTCTGGAGAAACAATGAATCAGCTTTTTCCACAGCTCTTCTTAAAACTAAAAACCGAGTTCTAGAAACCCAACCACGCATTCCCGCAGAGGAAAGTGAGTAATGTTGGGGGCCGGCTGGCCAGTGACACTTCCACTCAGAAAACGGTACATGGTGAGTGGCGAGGGAGCACCCCCAAGCAGGTGGGTTCTTCCTCCCAGAAAGCCCCGGCTGTAACAGCTGGATGCAATGGTCCCCCACCAGGGTTCATTCAAGTGGTTCCTTTTTGTGAGGGTAATCATCCAATTAAATGTTTTAATTACTGAAATTATATATGCGTTCCTTCCGAGGAAAGAGCATCATCGGAACACGGTCTCCACTCCCCAGAGGGTAAGGCTGCTTTGCTTGCTGCGAAGGGGCTGTCTGGAGGAGTCCATTTTAATTTCATTACGAAACCAGCTTGAGAAATAAAGGCATAGATTGACACGTATTCCCAGCCAGCTGTGACTTAATGAGCACAATTCAGAGCTTGGAACCCGCCAGCCGCATCCATATTAATATGTCTGTGGAAAAAAACAACAACAGAGAAAGTGACAAACTGCTATTCCTAGTATTGGAAATGAATTTCAAATCACGGGTAAAATGGCTAACGCGGGGGCGCCTCACTTGGAGGCGGCCGGGCTGTCGGCCTCCCTGCCTGTCAATAACGCCCCTTGCAGCAGCGGCGGCCAGGGTCCTGGAAGGAAGAAACCCCTTGCACGCGCTTTGGCAAGCCCGGACTCCCGGGTTTAGCAGCAGCGGTGTGGCTGCTCTGCTCCCCGTTCGGAGCCAGATCCCTGTCCCCGCCGCTGGCGCCGGGCAGGCCCCCCCACCTCCGATGCTTTTTATCTTGTATGGTTTGTTGCGTAACCGTCCAAGTCATCACGATCGTAACGGTCTTTGTGATTCTGATTTCCCTAGTCACGAGCACAGGAAAATAATAAAAATGTCTTGTTTCCACATTTTGAGATCCTAAAAATAAAAGGTGCCGGGTAAGCCTGCAGCGTTAATAAGTACAAAGTGAGAGGGTGGGTGTGGGTGTGGGAGACAAAGGAAACGCAGCGTGAAGAGGAACCTCAGTCTGTGTACTTTGACAGTCAATGCGAAATAGCCACCTGCTCCAGCAGGGAGAGAGGGCCCCTGGGTGCATGAGCCTTTCTTACAGTACGATGTGGGTGGGGGGTAAGGCCCCCTCTCAACGGTGCTGGAGACCAGGGCATGAACACTTGAACGCTCTCAAGGTGAAGATCTCTGCGTCTCCCTAAACGTGACCGCGGCTGAGGGTTCATTTGCTGTCGGTGGTGATGGGGGTGTGTGCGTGGTGGGCGGGGGAGGGGAGGCCCGTGTGTTGTGTAACTGGGGGGCAGTCATGATTCAGAGCCTGGGTTTTCAAACCAAACAAACCCTGACTCTCCCACTTAAAAGAGTTTCAATTAGAGCGTGGGCCTCCAATTTTTCATCTGGAAGTGGAGCTAGAATACCGACGTCATTGGGCATTTCCTGATGGTTAAAGGAGAAAGTATATATGCGTGTTTAGACTTGGGGCCTGGCGTGGGGGTAATGATTCTTGGTACCATCTCTGAACGTGTTTCAGTGACACGAGGTTTCAGGTTATTCTTCCATTAAAAATGTCTTTCAGCACATGCTGGGCACTTGAAAATCAGCGTTTCGATTCAGCGCCTAGTTGTAAAAGTCAGAGCTGCGGCACCTTTGAGAAAAAGAGCAAGATGTTTCACTTCTTCTTTCAAATGATGCTCATGGGTAAATCCAGATAAAGGATGTGACTCAATGAGTCATGTCTAAAACTGAGAGAGGACACTGTCTCTGTAATCATTGACTAGATTCTAAACACACCCACAGTCCAGAAATAAAGGAGGAATGGAAATGACGCAGTCACGAGCACAAGCAGCAAAGCCCGCTCTCTCTGGTAGACCACAGCTAGAATCCCAAACTGATCAAGTCCTGGTCTATTGGCCTCACCAGGCCTCAGTTTTCTCATCTGTAAAATGGTCACAGTAACACCTACATCACAAGGGGATGGTGTGGATTTAACAGGTGATGTTGGCAACATGCTTTCTATGGCACTGTGCGCATAACAGCACTGAACTCATGCTAGGTTCCTTCTCCAACCCGGTACAGAGACTCTAACGCATCCACATCCCTGAGGTCTCTTCAGTCCCTCCGGGACACCTAGGCTGCTTAGCAGTTGCTCAAACCTTAGCAGCTTGGACAGTCTTCACTGCCATCTGTTATGGGTTGAATTATGTCTCCCCTAAAAAAGATATGTTGAAGTCCTACCCCCGGGGCTTCTAAGCTTAATTGGTGATAGGGTCTTTACAGAGGTGATGAAGTTAAAATGAGGTCATGAGGGTGGGCCAGAATCCAATCTCACCGGTGACCTTGTAAAGGGAAAATGTGGACACGGAAGACAATGTGAAGACTGGAGCGTCGCATCTACAAACCAAGGACTGACAGGTATGGCTGGTAAAGCTCCAGAAACTGGAAGAGGCAGGGAGGGATTCCCCTTCGGCTTTCAGAGGAAGCACAGCCCTGTCAAAACCTTGATTTCAGACTTCTAGTTTCCAGAACTGCGAAAGAATAAATTTTGGTTGTTTTAAGCCATCCACTTTGTGCTAATTTGTTAGGGCAGCCCTAGGAAACTATTACACCACCCTTCTAACGGAGGAAACTTGGTTATGCACAGGATAGAAATGAAGATTTGGGAAGTAGGTCAAAGTAGGGGTGTGGAAACCCACCAGAGGGTTCCTCTGGGGTAAACTGAGCAACTGGACTGAGAGGAGGCGGTCGTTTTGCTTTGAGATGCACAAACACATGCAGTGTTTTCCAAGCTATGTTCCCTGAAGTCTTACAGCTCCTTGGAGAATTCTATAAACAGTTGCTTTTGGGGTGCCTGGCTGGCCGCGTCAGTAGAGCATGCAACCCTTGATCTCGGGGCTGTAAGGTCGAGTTCCACGTTGGGTGTAGAGATTACTTAAGATAAATTCTAAAAGAATCGTTTGCTTTCAATGTACATTTCTTTAGTATATTTTAATTATCCGCTTCAAATAGCAAAACTCCACCAAGTTCTTTACGTGAATCATTCATTTAATCTTTACAACTACCCTATGAAGTGGGTGCTATTATTACACTCATTTTACAGATGAGAAAACCAAGGCACAAAGAAGCTACGTAGTTTTCCCAAGGCCACGTTGCTAGTAAATGACAGAGCTGGGATTCGAAGTCAGGGACTCTGCCTCGAGAGCCTTTCTTTGTAGCTTCTTCACTATGGTGTCTCTAAAAGCTCTAATAAACAAACACAAACACGTACTCTGACTTTCCGTGTCCGATTGCAATATGGTGGATGCTACCACAGCACAAACTTGTGCCGCCAGACTAACCCCTCTGCAGAGAGTTTCATTCCTGTATTCATTCCATTAGCACATGCTCACTGAGTATGTACGATATGCTTCTATGACCTTCCTGTAACTGTATCGATTAGGAAGATCATAGCTTTATCCTCATTTCTGAAAAATATTCACATCTGTTCATCTCTATTCCCTTCAAACCGAACCCAACATCGTAGTGAGTTGTATAATAATTGATACTCCGGTAATGAACACGTATTAATCATTTTGATGTTTGTCATAGTTTTGGATGATACTCGATTGCCTTATATACCCACGATAAGGAAGATTAGCAGTTAGAAGAGAACGCTAGTGATTCAGTTTTGGAGACAAAAAGTTTCTATTACTCTTCTTTCAAGCTTTTGGAGAGTTTAATTGGAGAGTACCCTGAGGTTGCAGAGAAGGCGGTTAGAAGCTGTTACCCTTTGCAATCACACACAAGTGAGAATCAGGGTTTTATTGATTCCATACGACAGACACATAATCCGAACATAATCTAAACCTAATTTCAATTTGAACTTTTAACCAGACAACCCATTTCCCTT